ACACACACACACACACACACACACACACACACGCGCGCGCGCGCGCGCGCCACGCATACTTATAATTATTTACTTCACCCCAGTAACAACTAGCTAACAAGTTACGCTTGCACGAATGAAATATTGCATAAGATATTCATCGCCACCTCTTGATATAACATTTAATATAATTTGAAAACTTTAATAATTATGTTATTTTTTACTTTTCCCTTCGTTTTCGAGCGATGTTTGACGAGAGAGAGAATACGATTGTCTGTAAAAACTAAAAGACTAATTATTACTAACGGCAACGTCAATAATAATATAGTAATATAGTGTTTACCATTACGACTCAGATGTTTTATACAATAACATTTTATCATATTATTATTATTAATGATTTCTACCTACTAAGTATATATTTTACATATTGAGCACAATCACGATGAATAGATCTAGGGGCCTAAGGGTCCAGATCTACCTTACTATTTATCCAATTTTTCTTATAATTCTAAAGATCATGGAGAAAACAATTTAAATTAAGAATAAATTATAYATTGTAATTGTGTTTGCGTTGAAAAATATATTCCCCTCCTCTCATATCTTTGCCTGAAGTACACCCATAATACCTTATTTTACGTTCACAGTATATTATAACGAACTGGATTTCGACACCGCGATCTTTTCACAACTGTCGGGTTCACTTCTGATTATGTACACTAGTTACTATTTAAGAATAGCCACGTACACAGTGAGTAAACAAATACATATTTTCAAAAAAATTAAAAATTAGCTATGTCAGTTATGTAGATAATAATTTGATATTATAACCATCGATATACAAAAATATTATTGTCGGCGGCACTTTTGTACTTTTGGCCGAAGACAATATTGTAATATGAAATGGATTTCCATTAAAACATTGTGTTATAACAGCTAGAGGTAGGCAACTTTCTTGATATCTATGGATTAACTGCCGAAGTACAATGTATATATTATACTTAAACATATTTCACGGACCGCAATAATGAGAATATACCGTATTTTATTTTAAACAAAAATGTAAGGACATATTGAATTTAGTTTATCTATGATTCAATAATTTTTTATTAATTTAACACGATAATATTAACAAACAAACAACGTTTTAATCCACCACATAGTTTCCGGTCCATCCTATTTTTGTTCGTAATTTTTGTAAAAAATTATAAATTTTAATCACAGACCACATAAAACAGCTATGAAGATCACATGCAATCCGTGAGCTACGAGTTGCCGACCCCACTATTAAAAGTTTTTAACACTTATCAAACGTCGATAGATTGAAAATAATTTAGTGCAGTATAACCGCGCTGGAGCATAAATAATCTAATCCAATTTAAATTTAKCTGGAACGACGTATACCAAGAAGAAACATGATAATTATGATAATAATAAATAACAACTACCGTATATGACCATAACTACACACGGCCGAATCTAAAAACCAGAAGTRTATCTCAAATAATATTTTCGAATCGACCTTTATTACTCTTCCAAAGTCGTRTTGGCTGTTGGCTCTTTTTATATGTAAACGTGAAACCCCCATTTTAAAATAAAAAATTCTCTTCAGCAATATATTAATAATATTAAAGTGCGTGTTTTTCTCGTTATTATATTTTAAATCATACGCATTTTGTCGTGTGAAATTATGAAACGCGTCGCACAATACAATAAATAATAATATATCACAATATATACTGCAGTATTATTAAATCGCTCGGAAAGTCAGTTTTCTGGAAACTTGCACCACAATCGTTCCTCGTCACACCAAAGCAACAACGTCTGCTCCAAGGACTGTTTAACAATCTATACCTAGGCACTCGTTGCCCCACCGGTCGTTTTTTATAATTTCGTCAAACGGTAATAATTTGTTTATAGTCATAACTCATAAGATTAATTGCATAGATATATAATGTACTTTAGCGGCCAAATATTCACGAGGAGCTTAAACGCTTGACTGACAAAATGTATTGATTTTATTATTCTCAACGTATTTAAAAAAAAAAAAAACGAAAATGAGTATAAACTATTTAATAACTTATGAGAATATTATTTAAGTAAATTTTTTTTTTTTTATTGATCTTGAAATTTACATAAATAAATTTCCTCTTCGACTACACAGGCTACTAGTGTGATGAAGTAAATTTACTTGAAGTAATAAGGTAACATTTTTATGGAGCAGGTAAAATATTAATTTTATTTTAAATTGCGACGATTTTAAAACATTGTCGATCTCAACCTGTTTTAATAAGTCTAATTATTTATAATTAACAGTCAATACTCAATAAGTAGCTAAACAATAATCATAAAAAGTTATTACATTAATGATATAAATATATAATACATGAAAAAATATTTTCTCTCCTCCCCAAGCTCCTTGCCCATGTGCGCCTACGTATGAATGTGTTTCATAAAATAGGAAAATCGATGGTATAATTATATGTATAGAATATTATATAGGCTAAATGTTTATACAAAAGATTCCAGTATCACCTAAGTACTCATTCAAATCCCCTCATTAAAAKYTTGGCCTCAGCTACTATACCTGGTAATCTCCCAAGACGCCTAAAACGCAAGTACGTATAGTGTCGTGACCTGTTATAATAATGAATAAAAAAATKTTCATATTATTATAATTAAGTACTTAGTAGCCATAGGAAGTGTCATCAATGGTAGACTTCTTTCATAAAAATAATATAGCCCAGTCATATCTGTTGATTTTATCCTATACTCTTATTGTAATATCAAATTATGTTAATTTTATATTGTATGTAACAATCAAAAGTAAAAAAAAACTATTATATATTATATAGCTTTATCACGATTAAACGACGCCGTTGTTTGTTAATTCAGTCGAGAAATCATAAAAAGATTACTTTGAAGTTTTTTCGGTATCGAGACTGATGCTTTATCATAATTTGACACACTTACATACTAAGTATCTCAATTTTAAGTAAATAAGACGAGGATATAGTGTTTKTACATATCAACCGATAAGATAAGAGAAATAAATATAAAAATTAATGCTAAATATTTGCTATTATTATTATTGTTATCAAACCTGCTGAAAAGAATGTTATCTTGTTTATTTATTTCTAAAATGTAGCCATAGAGTAATTATCATTAAATCATCATTATATTTAGGTAAGGATTCTTAAAAGGCGTGTAGAGATRGAAAGAAATAGAGCAACTAGACTAATATGAGTTATTATAGTTTTAACAATAATTGGTCTTTTATTTTCGTCGGGTATGTGAGTTTTATAAAAATAAAATACAAACTTCTTAAATCAGACTATAGCGATGTATAAAATAATGTTATGTCATACGAAATGTCCGAAATGGCATTGAAACGATATAATATACGTGTACCTCTGTAAACGTCACTAAAAATATATTTGTACAATATCMACAGTAGTTATATGATTTATAMGCAGCAATTCATAGTAAGAGCTAGTTTTTCAAGTAAATTATTTCCAACAACGCGAAAATTCTCAATTGGTTTTTGATATAATTGATTTATTTCAATAATAAATTGTTAAAAATAGGAAGGTACTTAAACTAATAAATAATAAATAAAATATATCAACTTAAAATATAGTGATAAGATTTCAACATATTTTAAAAACGTTTTAAAACCAAACAATAAAACACTTGATACCTAATAATTAAAAATCAGCATAATTCAACAATATATACAGTAATACATTATTATAAATTATAATAAATTCGATCCTAATYTATAGACCCATTTACTTGATAGTTTTATCTAAATAAAGTGCTGTACGACTTAAATGAACGTCAAATCATTCGTTGGMGGTGACCTACTGTCTACTGAATGTATTTTGTATAATATTGTTCATAGGTAAATAAGTTTTAATCGAGTTGCACACAAATTACATAATATATTATATAATAATTRATGATCAATCAGATCTGTACCTTCACATWGTGTAAAAATTTAAAATCCAGCTACAATAAATTATTATTGGCAAAATGGCAATAATTTACTTGTAACATAAATCAATATCTATACTGCACGGCAAGCAMCAGCTAGGTTAGGTCAGTTATAATATAATATATTATGGTTTTTKTATTTTCCTTTTAGTTAATATTGTAGATTAATTGGTAATAAAATCATCATGTAGGTATGGATATCATTAAAATATAATATTTATTTTTTTCAGCACAACTTAATGCACATCAATTTTTGGATGATWCTCAACTGTCTAAATTTCCTCACATCAGTCGCGTTTATCATACTTGCTGCATGGAGAATTGGAAAATTTGCAATATTTTTTACAGGCTTGATTGGATGCTGTAAGTATACTTAAGAGATAATAMATTTTCATATTAATCGACTAACGTATAATATGACCATGACGAGCTTGAATTAATATTTTGTAAGTACCTTTTTTTTCATTTGATTGCYTATAGTTGCAAAATCATATAAATTATACGTCGTCTATCAATTTTACATGGATGAGACTTCAACAGCCACAGTTAACGATAATCAAAACGTAAGTACTCAAAATGCATTCATAAACGATAATTTATTTAATATTAATAATTACACGTACATTACACCACCTCCCCCCCCCCAAATCTAAATTTCGAGATTTTTTTGTACCAATGATTAGTACTCAATTCATGTGAATTCCTAATTAGCTCTTTGTAATTCCTGCTCTAATAGATTTTCTGGAAAATCCATTTTTCCCTGGGTAGAACTGGGGTAACGTTATTCCAGTCCCACCCACCATCCAAATTTAACTTTTTGCAATTTTGTTTTAAACCAATAATTAGTACTCAATTCCTGTGAATTCCTGGCCAGCTTTTTATAATTTCTGCCCCACCCAGGGATTTTCCGGGAAATCTACCARATTAGGAATTATAATAAACTGATCAGAGATTCACAGGAATTRAGTAGGTACTAATCATTGGTGCAACAAAAAAAATGCAAAATTCATATGGAGGAGGGTAATGTAAGTAATAATTATAAAGAAAGAAAATKTATTGAATTTATTTTCTTTGTGCAGGTATYGAACAATGGAGATCAGCCGCTACCTCRAAATCACGCAACTATAGAAATCAAAACAGAAACAAACATAGTGAATGATTACCACCACCCCACTTTGGACGTAAAAAATGTTACACAGACCGCTTAAATAGATATGACGATAAATCATTCTAAACTTWAAGATTTTAAAACTCATTGTGATGTACTTATAAGACCTTATATAATAGGTATGTATAATAATATGGCAGCCGCCAGCCAAAGATACTGTGGTCAGAATTATTATGTTACAATATTATATATTATATTAAATGCATTAATTATTGTATTTTGCATTGTGCATGGTTATTACAATTTAAATTTCAAAACAATTATAAACGACCAATATTATACTCCAGTATTATAAATTATCATGTATTACAATTAAATATCTTGATATAGATAAGTACAAATTGTGATGGTTGAATGTATAAAAAAAAAGCGTAAAATTTAATAAATACGATCGGTATAAGTATAGTATTTTAATTGTGTGATTATGTGAGAGTGTCAAAATTTGATTCCAAATGTATTCATAACTGAGAAAAATTATTGGAGAGAAGTGACATACTATATGTATAGTTATTTTATATAATATAAATAGGTATTATTAATGCCAGATAAATGTATATGACAATTATTATTTTCTCAATTAAAAAAAATGAACCATATAGTATAATATACCTACTATATGATGTAAGTAGTTTAGTAGTTGATGGAGTCGACTAATTTCAATAATTTACTAATATTATATATAACATGAGCGTTTTCGGATATTTAGTACCTATATTAGGTAGTTTACATTAAAAAGTGATTCTTTAATAACTTGGATGAATTAAATCGTCATGTATTTTGTGATATTGAACAACTACGAGATTGGAAAAAAATTATTTAGTTTTAACGGGCGAGTAACACAAAATACGGCAAAAATCATTTATAGGTAGAATATAATGGTACCTATTTAATTTCCTGCGATGTACACACTACTCATATGCCAAAGTTTAGTATTCATAATTATTACAAATTTTTAGTTTTAAAACAGTTCATTACTTATAATTATATATTTATATATAGTTAATTATTAAATTGTATAYGAACTTGTTGAATACGAATAATTATAAATATCTGCTGCAGCAAGTTAATAATATAGTAATAACATTAATATTATATTATATTAGTAAATAATACAATTATTATTAATTATATTTATTTTAAAACAAAATATGTAAATCAAATGGATTAGAACAAGATATTTATAAATAGAAACAAATAAACATAATACCTATACCTACATGAGAAAGGGAGCAACGTTAGTAATGTATATCAATTATATAATATATGATATAATCACATTAGAACCTATTATAATATTATATTATGTTTGGTATGTTTCAATTCAACATGAGAGAAGAAAACATAAATTAAATATTAYTTATGATATCCGTCGGTCGTCACGATTTTCTGAAAAATCTTATTCGAAGTAAATATTTTTAAAAACTTTGATAGTATTATTAAACTTTGTGTGTTGTGAAAATACAAGACGTGCTAATTTAAATTGAAATTTCTGTTGAAATATSGTGAAAATATTCATGATATAAAGTTGTATATAAATTGAAATCTTCAAGAAAACGTGTAATATTTTYGGAGTCGATTGCTTGTACCGACCCTATATAAGGTATTTCACCGAACTATTTTTTCATTTTATTTTAACATACCGTGATATTATGGTGAATGACGTCGAAGATTCCACGATGGAGATAATTTAAGAAAAAAAAATATATATTATACCACTCCGCTCAGAATCTAAAAAAGGGATCTATTATAATATATTTAGTGACTTGTCTTCATATATAAAATATATGCACAACAGTTTATTTTGTTTTTCATTGAAACTTAAGCTTTTATCTAATTAGACGGGTAATTAATTATTGATCGTGATGAAAAAATAAAAAATACAAATCAGAGTCGACCAGCAGGCATCCCAGTATTCGTATACACAATCAGGGTGAACCGCCTTTTTGTTGTTTAGGAAATGTAGGACACACGCTCGACGCTCAATACATTTTTTTCCTACATTTTTTTCCTACATTTTTTTCCCCGACACTTTCGTTTTTGATAGTGAAATGGTTTAACAAAAATAGTGATCATAATTTTAATTGAATAAAATTATTTCTACATTCTTACTTATCAATTGTGTTATAACATTATTAAATTGGATTACAATCGAAAACTTCCCACTCATTTATGAGCTGTTTTTTAAAATTAATTTTCGATAGGTTGATAATCACCTAATTAAAAAACTAAATGTTTATCGTGAAAAGATAAGTATTAGTTTCAATTTTATTTTTTTGATATCTATGATACAAATAATTTTGTTTTTAAATTCATTGTTTGTATGTATTGAATAAATCTTCTAGTAAACTTAATATTAAAAACATAAAAATTATATTAATGATCTAAGTTTCTTTCTTATTATGGCGGACATATGAATTGTTGTTTCTTGTTTTTGTATTTACGTAGGTACCTAAAACTTACTTGTAATTTAATTTG